AAAATACCCTTGCGAATTCAGACATTAAAGCATACTTGCGAGTAGACAAAGTGGGTACCTGTCCTAGGTGGCAGGGGGCACCCTCCTCCTTGTTGGGAGGCATGTAGCAGGTGGCAACGGCAGTAATGGCGGCAACGGCAAACAGCAACAGCGGGACAGCCTGGCGACCCAGTGAGCATGCGGAACCTGGATGGAGGCGGAGCTACGAAGGTGCGGTGACGTGCAGCGCAGCGTGGCGGACCCAGTTCGGACAAAGCCAAGGCTGCGGCCAGCGCGTGGCTGCGCTCTAGGGGGAAGCCGCCGGAAAGAAGCCGCTGAACTACCAGCTCCAAGGCGCCAGAGAAGAGAACGCCGGAACAACATCTATACCCGAAGCCTGCCGGAATACAACAACAACAAAGAGCCGCTCTGCTACTTGGGTGCTGGTAGGTAGTCACCTCCCCTGTTAATGTGGCCCTAGACAGGAAATATAATCATATGTAAACCGCTCAGAGACCCTTGCAAAAAAGGGTTTGAGTGGTATATAGGCCGAAAGTTAAATAAAGTTAAAATAAATATGCTGAGAAAAAAGTAGTCAATTTTGGATGGACTATTTGGTCCAATTGTTTTTCTATTAATTGAAATAAAACATAGATCTTCCTCCTCATTTGACTTCATTTCTGACATGGAATCTAATATGTACAACATGTTCACATCTGAGTTCTTTCAGAACTCTCGGGTGTATGCCATCCGGGCCTGGTGATTTATCAGTTTTTAAGTTGTCTATCAGTCGTAGGACCTCCTCTCTAGTCACCTCAATCTGACTCAGGTCTTTCAACACCGCTCCCGAAATCAGTGGTTCTGGAGTGGGCAAGCACTTCTCATCTTTCACAGTGAAGACAGAGGCAAAAAATGCATTTAGCTTCTCAGCCATTTCCCTATCATCCTTCAGTACTCCTTTTCACACTTTTCATATACAATCAGTTGCTCCCATCACTGTGAACTTGCCATCCTAGAGGAATTTTGACAGATCACCCTCCTACTGAATCAGTCACTGCACTCTGAAAGGGAAGCTTGGCCAATAATAAGCAACTTATCACATGCACTGCCTAGGACAACCTATGGAAACTCACCCTTCTTATTCCAACAGCTATTCAGGAAGAGAAGCATGGATATTCTAAAACCATAAACATCATCTCTGGATGCTAAGTAGAATCTATGTATCAATTCTACATGCTAAATGATAGGCATAACCCTTGCATGGCTGGCTTCTCGGGGAGGGATAAGGCATCTCACAAAATGGTCACTAGCCATACAGAGGCTAGGAATCCAAGTAGATAAGATTATGACTAAGCCAGCTGGCATAATGCCTTGCTATTGGCTCAATGTGGGGCAATTCCATTACAGTTCAGCTTTATAGATGTTCTCTTGTGCAACTTAATTTTACAAGCCTTGAAATGCATCTTATATAATTTCTCAGAACCAAGTGTTCACTAATGAAGTCCGCCTCACAATCTCAGGGGTTTTGACTGCATTTGTGGCCTATTATACCATATGTACTACAATAAATCTGATTAGTTCCTTTTGTACAGCAATCAAAACACTAAGCCTAAAGAAACACACAGTATACGTATCAGGTTAGCCAGCTGTCATCTTCTCTAAGTTTATTTATTAGTCCTCCCAGCAATGCAGTTGCCAGGTTCGAAGAGAAGAATGTCTTGGCTTATAAGCTAAATTCCTCCCTCCCCTCACCTAAGGAATAAGAGTTTCAAAGTATTCAATAGGTCAGTTGGTTCTGCTCTACATCTCAACAGAAGATACCCTGTAATGACTGCCCAACCTTCTACCTTTGCAAGATCCAGTTTCTTGGCTGTGAGCCTAGGAACAAAGTAGGTACCTAGTTCCTCCGCTTTAATGCATAAACCGATAAGCTGCTCCTGAAGTTACCATAGTTGCAACAGGTGAATATGCTCAGCCTTGAAGCACAATATGTGCTTCATTACAATTAAACAAGAAAAAGCTGCATTTATTTATTTTTAATAACTACAATTTTTAAGCAGAGGCTCTTGGAGCAGGGAAAGGGAATTGCTGTGAGAACATCTTGCAAGCTGTGCATCATCTCAGCTGCCTGCCTACAGGTAGGCTTGGGGTCCGGCAAAGCCAACATAGCGAAGCATGACTGCTCAGGACTCATGTTATGTGTTGATTATTTAGATACTGCTCTTTAATGTTGGAAGTTTCTTTAAGACGTTTTGGGTCCTATGGGAGGAAAACAACATAGAAATGCATAAAAAATAAAAACAGGAATTACCAATGAGCACTGTAGCATACCACCACAGTTATCAGAGGAGTCAAGATAGACCTACGTTTCTGTAACAAGAGTATTTTAAGAATGTGTCTTACCAGTCCATAAGCAGTGCTTCTCTCATGTTCCTGTGTTATGTCAGCTACATAAGCAAATATCACAGAGAATGTAACAGAAAAAATCCCAGATACAGAAATCATAGCGAAATACCACCTGTAAAATTAAGAGACATCTTGGAACATGTAAAACAACTATGCAACAAACTTATTATAAGACTATGTAAGAAAATGCCAGAAATTAAATATTCAAGTTTGAACATTCCAACTAAAACAACAAATTACTCTGAAGACTTGTTTCTTGCCTTGCCTCATGACTAAAGGTGGCTTACAAATCACAATTTAAAAACAAGAGTAACATAAAAATCCTGAACAGACGTGTTCAAAGGAGCAGTAACTGAATTCTGCTGTGAGATAAATCAGTTTCTTTTCATCTATTATCTTTCCGTACAAGACTGGTCTTCTAGTTCCCTCAACGCATCTCCCCCAACCATCATTTGTGCCACTTACCATGGACTTATCTTCATTAATGGAATTGGAACACATGTGAAGAAAACTGTAACCAGGAGGAAAGACTTTCTTCCCCAGACATCAGAGAGAGCACCTATCAGTGGAGCACTCATGAAAGATAAAAACCCCTAAGGAAGAAAGAGAAATTACTTTAGGACATCTAATTCCATTTCATGTCTGTATTGTATCATTTAATTCAAACAGCAAAGTAACGATTGTCTATATTACATTTACTGAAGGCAGGGGGGGGAAACAGATTAAAGAAAAATTGTTTTTTAATCAATGTGTACACAACAGAGTATGCCAGCTAGTGATATTTTACCCAATGCGAGAACAGTTCCTTTGAAATCTTGCTAAACACTGGGACAATAAAGGAAGACTCTTTCTGATGGCAGTGGCAAAAGCAAAATGCACTGAAGAAGTAGGTAAATTATTCATCACATTAGAGTATCTGTCTCACAGTAAAGTGAGGCACAAATTTATTTCATGTAGAAGCAGCATTCTTTAACATCAAAACAGGAAAAGACCACAATGGCTAAATATTCTTAAACTCATTTAATCTAATTTATTTATACTCAAGAAATCAGTATAATAGCAAATGATTTGGATCATTCTGATCAAACTGCCTGGCTTCTGTAGGAAACGAGAATTTCCTACCCTACCACCAAGAATTAAGGTAGAATAAGCAGAACCAGCACCCAGGTACATTTCCAGATGGCTTCATGCTCAGGAATTATTAAACTGAAGAAGAGGAGTTGCAGGTATGGTTTCTGAACAGCTATACAAACACTCTCACTTCTTCCTTCAACCACCACCCCATCTATACTTGGGTAGAACTGGAAAGTGTGTGGCCAATTGGAAAGTTATGCAGTAACTGTCACTTGCAGTGCCAGAACATGGCAACCTCCACTGTTCCAGGGACAGGAAATAACTGTAATTGGTCTGAATTCTGTCTAAAGTCCAGAAGTTGCCACTTATGAAACTGTTTGCTTAAACGATTCGGTGAGGCTTCCATCTTAGTTTGCCCATCTAGCATTTGTTTTGATATTTGTAATACAATGCTAATGGACATTGGGATATTGGAGCTGAAATTAAAGTTTGTTACACAGTCAAGTCACAATTCTAAGGTTGCTTTCACACACACTGAATAATGCACTTGAGCAATTGTCTGCAAGTGGATTTTCCCATTTGACACAATAAAATCAAATTGCAAAGGGAACATAAAAGTGCATTATTTGCAAAAGGACCTTAAGTCTCAAAAGCTCAAATACCAACTTGATCCTCCACACCATTTCCCCAGTGCAATAAAAAAAATGCAAAATACAATACCATACAACTACTCCCCTAAACCCTGAAACATAACAATGAAAGTTCGAGGCAGTGTTCAGGGGAACTTTCTGCATTCAGAGGAAAAGCTCAGTTACTACACTTACTTTCTAGGGGACCAAGCTATACAATTCATAATCTCTATTGAAAACAGAGACATCAACATTGTTAAAGCTGGGGTACATGTACATAATACCCACTCAGTGTTCCAACTACAATCCCCAGCTTGACTTTCACATCTGGTTCAAAAGGGAGCAAAATATGAAAAACAGTGTTCTGCAATATCTGAAGCAAAGCTTTTCAGTCACCTCATTTCACTAGTCTTGGGTAAAGACAATAAGATAGTCCATGGTTAAATTTTGGCAAAAAAAGAGCCAAAACTGAAAATCTATTTAGCACTACCCAGTTAATCCTATTTACTCACATTTTCCTATCACATCGTTTTAAAAGGAAACTGATGCTCAACTCCCTGCACAATCCCTACTATGCTTCAAATTTATTTTATAAAATTAAATGAGATGTTGAGCAATTCTGATTATTGCTTCCTGCTGCCAAGTACCTACAGGTGGGGGAAGGGCACATGCCATTTTCTTGGATGCAGCTGCATTATGGGAGTCCTTGAGTATATTTTATAAAAATTTCCATATGTATCACCTCTTCCCAGGAAAGTGCATGTGGTAGTTTACAATACAAGAAAACAATTACAACTATAAAGTAACCCACAGTAAATTAATCAAAGCAAACAGCCCTATTACAACCATAAGAAAGGAAATAATTATAATGGAAAGTGGAACTACCAACCAACTAAAAGTCAGCTGAAATAAAGCATTGGTCTGGTGCTGAAAGATATTCAACTATAGTGCTGAGACAAGGAGAGGGCATTCCACTGAAGAGGCCCTGTGCTTCATGATAGCTTCCCTTCTGAAGATGGGGGAATATGAAGAAGGGCTGGATAGGTGAGTGCAGTGCTTTGGCAAGGCTACATGACACCACGGAATCCTTCAAGTATCACAAATCCATCAAAACAAGCAAGAACCATAGAGTAATGGATCTTCCCTTCTTTCCCTGAATAGTCCCAATACCTGCAGGCACCATTCACTAGATCCATGTTCAAAAGTATGAGGGAGTTGAAATTTTGCACACCAGATGCAACCAGTGTTTTACTTTCTGAAGTCTCTGTTCTTTCATAAGAACTAGGGATTAGGGCATGTCATTTTCCACTTTTAATGAAATAACTCTGTATCTATTCTTTACATTTTCCAAACTTCTTCTTAACCCCTCATCACTGAGAATACAGCTACAGTTGTTTTATATTCTCTTTGACAATCAAGAGTATTATTTCCTTCCAATGTGAAACTGGTGACCGTCAACATGCAGTAGAGGATAACAACCTAAATGCTCCCTGGAAACAAAGCAGCCACTTGTCTTGCTTATACTCTAAAGCACAGGGGGCATGAGAGAGATTGTTAGACTTCTTAAGCATAAAGTATGACAAATCTGTTCCACATTGCTGCAATACCAGATTATTGTCAAGCAGGAAACGAATGTAACTCTTAGATAAGTAGCCTAATACCAGTCTCAAGCTTCCTACAGTGCCTGTACAATAACTTTAAACTGGTCAAAGGAATTCCTTTAGTGCAAGAGGCCAGCAAATCATTAATACCATTCACAAGTTGATACTGAAGATACATTATTCCATATTCATTTTCTTTGCTAGTGATAATTACTTGTCACTTCTTTTACATGAATTCATGTAAGAGGAACAAGAGCCTCAAGCCCATCAGTACTTCTAATTGCTCAGCATGTGCTACATGTACCAAAAACCCAGTTTGAGAGCCAGTTCAGTGTAGTGGTTAAGAGCAGCAGACTCTAACCTAGAGAACCGGGTTTGATTCCCCACTCTTCCATATAAAGCCAGCTGGGTGACCATGGGTCAGTCACAGTTCTCTTAGAGCTGTTCTCTCAAGAGTAGTTCTCTCAGAGCTCTCTCAGCCCCACCTACCTCACAGGGTGTCTGTTGTGGGGAGAGGAAGGAAAGGAGATTGTAAGCCGCTCTGAGACTCCAAGTGAAGGGAGGGGTATAACTCCTCCTCTTCTTCAAAAAGCCCTTTACAGTCCCATACACACACACACAGAGAGAGAGAGAGAGAGAGAGACAGAGAGACTTCAGAAGCAAACCCCAATTTCATTATAGAGCTGCACAATCCCTCATACCTCACCTTCCATAATATTCTCACTTTTGCCAAACCTCCTAATGTTCATGGTGATCAAGTAATCAAATTCAGAATTTGTTTTTAATTTATCCTGAACATAGTATTTACATGTTCTCAGCCCTCAGTATATTCTTCAGGCAAATAACTACGCACTGCAAATTACATTACAGCAGACACAATGCATTCACCCTCTGCATTCACAGCTCATTTCAATTTTGCAGTATCACACTGATGATTAGCTCTAAAGTTTCTGAGGACTTACTAGGAGCATTTTAAAGACTTCCAACTATAAATGTGCTCAACTGCTTGCTTCCCTTTTGTAAGGCTCAAAGCAGAAACTTTATTTTAGAATTCTTTTGAAGGACAATTCCAATTGTTTTATTTCACTCAACAAAGAAAATGGCTTGAGTCTGAAGGGTGTGTCTTTGTAAGTCTACAAAATGGGATTGCAGGACACAGAAGAAATTCACATTTGCAAACATTTTTCTTTAGTAAAAAATAAAGAACTATTGGCAGGAAGGCAGTTGAACGTTTAGACTAGAATAATATGAAAATAAGCTTAATGATTATTTATTGCTGGTTAACAGTAAATTATAGGCATGGGCATGAATCAGGAAAATGGAGGTTTGTGGTGTTTCGTGGGGTCTCACACACTTTTCCATGTAATGAACAAGTTCAGATTGTGAGGTTCGTACAGCTTCCACGAGGGGAGGGGGAGCAAAAAGCACTCCATTCACTCCTTCCCCTGCTTCCATGGTGGGGAGCAAAACGCATTGCTGAGGGAAGATAAAAATCCCCAGTTTAGCGATGCCTTTCACTCCCCCCCCCCAGAAACTGCAACAGCTTGCGCAAGTGAGCTCAGAAGGCTTTTAAATGCCTTCTGACAGCCCACCCATCGCATTTAAATGCCTTCTGAGTTTACTTACATGAGTCATTCCCCCACAGCGGAATAACACAAGTGAGTTGACAGAAGGCATTTAAATACCTTCTGAGCTCACTCACGTTGCACTGCCATGAACCCTCTTACTAACCGAACGAGCCATTGCAGCTCGCAAATGCACGAACCAGCAAGGTTTGTCACAAATTCAGTTCGTGCCCATCCCTAATCAATTACTCTGAAGACAGTAATTCCATAGCTCCAACCAGGCTCGAATTTCTGAGGATGGACAGGATTTCCATCCATGGAGCAAGACTTCCTCACCTCCCACCACAGGCCAAAATGCTGCCCCTAGAGGTAAGAGACCCCCTCCCAACAACAACCTGGGGAGGAGTCACCCTCCTCTCATTGGTAGAGATCTTCTGTTGGATTCAAAAGAGGGGGGGGAAGCACACAAGTATAGTATTTCCACTGAACCTAGGTCTAAAGTACCAACAATACTGCTCCCCAGTGTTTTTAGCACCTAAATGAAAGCAATTATGGTGGCATCATTAAAGATATCAAGGCAAGGAATCAGATATGAAATGTCAATTAAACAGTACCAACTGCTGCAAAGCCCTACTTCCCAAGTGAGCTGGATTTTTCTCTGCCAATGCAGAGATTCTGACAGTCAAGGAACCAGAAGATGACCTTTAGACTCAAAATAAGTGCAATTATACTGGCATGAAGAGAAATCATGCATACAATTGTAACCCTTTTCCCTACTTTTGACATAATATATAGCACAAACTTATTTGCTTGGCTTGGAATCATATGAATCCTAGAAGATCAAGTTGCCTATCAGCTGAAACCTTCTGCCACTTGAGATTTCCATGAATTTCCCATCATAAAAATATGCAACTTCAAAACCTGAAATAACTTTCATTTTGTGGGAGAGGTAAGTATAGAAAGTATGACACCAGCAAAATTAAATTCTCAACCAAAGCTTTGTCCTCAGTCCATTTTTTAACTTCATCCTTCCACAAAATACAGAATACATCTCAATAGAAAACAGTAACCCTGTTCCTTTTTGTTCCTTTATACTAAATGTTTCAAGTATTTATGATGACCAGCAAGAGCCTTTTGTACAGGTTGTAATATAAAAAATACACACAGCCAACAGAGAAGATAAAAATTCTGCCATCATTAACAGTCCCACAAAAAAATTTAGGAAAGGATCACTGTTCTGTCCAACTTCAAATCACCATAAATTAGTTTACATATTTGTAAAAACAGTGCTGGTTCTTAATTTATACAGTTTATTTCAACTGTTATATTTGATGCATTGGTGATTTCTAGTACCCACTTTACACCCATTTAATTACCAGCTCAAACAGAAGTTATTCCAACAAACTGACTGCTTCATAGTAGCAATTTGCTTATGAATGTGATCTTACTACACCATCTCTTTCCCAAAGCATTTTAGGAATACTTTCATGGAATCTTTTTTCCAATCTATTGACAGCTTCTTCAGTGCAGGGTTTTAATGAAGCCCCCCAAGCATTCTAGGTGGCCATATACAAGGGAATGAACAGCACTTGGGGGGAACATGTCACATTAGTGCATGAGTTTCTCTTTGTTACAAAAATCTGTCAATACTAGTACCATAATGCTATATTCCAAGCTTGCACCTTTGATGCTGTTTATGTCATGTAAAATATGTCAGACACCACTATCATTTCATATGCATTGTGCTACTCTGTCTATTATGGTTCTTGAACCAGTAAAAAGTAAAAGCAATTACCCTCACCAGCCTACTTAAAAGATTCTTACCTTAACTCCTTGAATGAGGCCATTCATTAGAAAAGTATGCTGAGGAAACGTTTCTCGTAAGACCTAAAGAGAAATATTTGTTATTCAAACCTTCATTCAAAGACCCATATTTAACAATTGCAAAAACTAAAGAATACATAGCACCCAAAATTTCTGAGTACTTTTATAAAAGAACTCTCAATAATTGAATGTGTCTAAATTAGACAATTCCCTTACACATAAAATATCAGAGGTCAACCAACAGCATTTTCAACAACTGCTAAAAGGACTTTTTGTCAGCAGCTCTAACATTTGTCACACAATAGTTCTTTCTCTGTTCAATAAACAAAAGAACTTTACTGTTTAAATACATTTTACACACATTTCTAAATCTTTAAATATATGATAGAAGCCACTGGATGACTCGAAAGTAAAAAGTAGCAGGCTCATAAAAATCTGAGCAAGATTAAATTTATTAAACTAATTTCCAAGCTATTTTAATCCTGCTTTATCTGCTCAGACTCAAGGTGGCTAACAAAGAAATAAGAATTGTGAAAGACACAAAAATGGTCTGAGAGTCCATCAACAAGATAAAAACAATGCACATGTTAAAAAAGCAACCTGAAGCTCATCTCCATGGTCAAGTCTCGAAAAACTATCGTTCAACTATTTATATCTAATTAAACAAGCCTTAAGAGTCAGCAGGGCTGCCCAAAGATGACTGCAGAATGTTCATTACATAAAAGGATTTTATTATGAGGAAGTCTAGCCTTTGAAAACAACAGAACAAGACCCAAAACACTGTATAAGAAACTTCGATGAGCACAAGGGGCTTCTATACTAACCAGAGACCTACAAAGCATCTTATAAGTCCCTCCTACCAAACAACTGACCTTCAAAAAAAGACTCTTATCAGCACAAGGAAGTGATACCAGAACAGGGAATCTGAGAGACCATGATATGTGCACAGTGTTCTTTGGAACCAAGCCTTATGTATGCACACCTCACACTTGTAGTTTAAATGTTACAAGACTTTACCAGTGTACAGAATCCAAAAGACAGTCACTTAAAACTGGAGATGTTTTAATGCAGTGATAAAAGAAATGTAATGCTAATTCTGAAAGAGAAAAATAAGGCTCAAGTTCTATTCTGTACATTAACCTCTTTTAAAAATCCTCCTTTAATAAGCATAAGGTTATAAGCCTACTACAAAAATGTTAACAAGTGGGAGGAGGAGTAAAGACTTACAAGCTGGATGAAAGCGACAAATACTTTTAGTCCAGTCCAACGTATACCAATATCAAAAGAGAAACAGAACAAATATTTATAATACAATTTGAGTCTTATCAGCACCTTAAAGACCAACACAACTTCCCAGTGTCAAAGCTCACTTCATCAGATACAAATAAGAATGAATATCCATCTGTCATATCCAGGTCAGAAGGTGGGAAGGTGTGTTAAAGAGAAGAGCCAATTGGAGTCTAGATACAAAGGTACAGTGAAAAACATTATCTGATTGAGTTTACAAACCTGAAAAATGGCCCAGAAAAATCTGAAATCTAAAAATACACTGGGAGTTTTTAAAAAAACCCAAAACAATAGAAGCAGTGCCTGTAGCTTTAAGAAATGAATGCTCTCAGTGGTCAATTGCTAGGCAACCACAACAGCACTGCCAGCCTTCAAGCCTAGGTTTCTGTCATTAAAAGGCAGGGGGATGGGGAAAGACCATTTCCAGGGCTGTTTTGGCCTTTGAGGGGAAAACTCATAGGAGCCAGGCCAGGCAGAAACCACCAGACAATTTGCTACCTCATGATACGCACAGGTCCGGCTGCTAGCTACTGTTCAACAACAGTCACTCTATAAAAGCCAGTGTGGCACAGTGATTAGAGTTTTATTTTTATTTATTTATTTTTAAACCCCTGAGAGGGTATTTTTTTTTCCCATAAGACTATTAACTACAACGAAAAATATAGGAGGGGGGACTACAACTAAGGATAAAGGAAAGATACCCACACTAACTAAAAACCCAAGAGTAGGAGATCCCTTCCATGTTAGTGATACAATATACTTGTGAAGTTCTTGTTTAACACAGGTTCTATATTAGTGAGTTAATCTTTGTGAGAGTACTTCTTGAGCATCTTCTTTAATTCAAAGAGCAATTTACAGAGTCCTTCTGCCCTTATTTCAGTTTTCTATCCCTAAAGTCATACACAGTTTTCGTTGCTCCCGCTCCCGCACCCACTTCTCCCACAGAGTCATTGTCCATTCCCAAAGTAGCAGAGTCACTTGACTTGGTTTCTTCATCTTTAAGTTCTTCCTCCGGCCCAAACTGACGTCTCAAAAATTCCTTAGCTTTAAAGATGGAGTCAATCTTCTCTCTTATCGTTGACTTAAAAAATTACACCTTCAGGAATCGCCCACCTGTACTGAATTCCATTAGTTTGAAGAAATGAGATCAGTTCCTTGTAGCCTTTCCTCTTTTGACGAATTTCAAATGGAATATCTTTTAAAGTATTTATGAATGTATTCCCAATTTTCAGTGGATTTGCCGAAGTTGCCTTTAATACAGCATCTCTGGTCTGTCTTCTTGCGAATCTCACCACAATCTCTCCAGGCAGGTTATTTTTTTTTAATATAATTGGAGAATGCCTGATAGGCAGTCTCCATGTCTTTTACTATTTCATCCGCTGATATACCTGTTACTGGAGCGATGATCTCTCCCACAGTCTTCTTCAAATCTTCTTTTTCAATTCCAGGCACCCCCTGAAATCTGAGAGTCATGTTAGCTTTTTCCATTTGAAGCTGTAAGTTTTTGTGTTGTTTCCACATCCGTCACTCTTTTCTTCATCTTCTTATTTGCGGTATCCATCTCTGTAATTTTCACAGTTACATGCTCCACTTTCTTTTCCATTTCTGCCAGCTGACGTTGCTGCAGAGCGAAGTTTTGGTTTAGTGTGGCCAGTTGCTGGTTAATACCACCGAGTTGCTCCATTACCGGCTTCAGCATATCCGCTAGCAACTTCATGATGTCTGCTCCCTCTTCTGGTCTTGGGCTCTGACTGCCTGGTTTCGGTTTTAACTTTCCTCGGGAAGCCGCCATGTTCCACTTTGTTTACACTTTCGAACTGCTATGCCAGGGCTCGAAAGACTCGTCGTTTCACTATCGGTACTCAAGTAAGTCTCTCAGAAAAAACTCGCTATTTATTTTCCCCCTTCCCCCTTCGCTACATTAGTCCGTTCATGCGCTTAGGAGGCGTCGCTTTTCCGACCGGGGGGGAGGGTACTCTGTTTTAGCAAAATAGTCAGTTTATTTTGAACTCACGTTCATTGATGGTCATATTCTGACCTCGCTTTCTTCATCGTTGTTCCGCTCGATCTCCTGTGCTTGCCCCGGTCAAATTAGCTTATACCTGCAGGTCACTCAACGGCAGGACCACCAGGGCAGAGGGAAACCTCTATTCTCCGGCATCAATCCGTCGAAGAGGCTAACCCTCAAAAGCCCTCTGGCCTGGAACCCATCGCAAGGGCTCCGTGGGGGTGCCACATGAGGTAGCACCCCTCCTTGCGGCTGGTGTGCTAGTCGCCTCCCCAGATGTTGGGGAGAGTGACCACCATCACCAACCCACAAACCGGAAGACAGTGATTAGAATTTTAGATAGGGATGGGCACAAACCAGCTCACAAACCTGAGTTCATTATGAACCAGGCACAGTTCATGGTTCTGGGAGGTTCAAGTGGTTCGTGGCTCTGGGAGGTTCATGTGGTTCGTGACAGCAGACATGCTGGCACGAGTGGTGGGGCTTGGAGAAGATAATGCCTTCTGAGTTCACTTGTGAGTCATGCTACCATGGCAGCTGCAAAACGGCTTGCAAAAACCATTTAAAGGAAACCCTTTCAATGGTTTTGCAAGCTGTGCCACTGCCATGCAACTGGCAAGTGAACTCAAAAATGTCTTCTGAGTTAACTTGCTAGCCGCAACATTTACAAAAGCCATTTAAAGGGAACCCCTTAAATGGCTTTTGCAAATCATGCCACATCACGAACTGGTTCATTAAACTGAAAAGTTCATGTTGGTTTGTGAGACCCCATAAACCTTCATGAACCTCAATTTTCCCGGTTCATGCCCATCCCTAGTTTCAGACTAGGATGGAAGACCCGTGCTCAAATCCTTAATCTTCTGTAAAAACTCCCTGAGTGACTTTGTGACTTCCTCGGCCTAACATACCTTACAAAGTTGCTATAAGGATAAATGGGGAAGAAGCAAATGATGTAAGCTGCTTTGAGTTCCCACTGTGGAGAAAGGTGGGGTATAAATGAAATAAGGCATATAGCTGAAAATGGAGGAGAAATAAAAGTTGTATTGGTGGATGGGAAGGAGAGCAGGAAGCAGGGAAAGGTGAGAATATGGGAGTTGTCATGTGGGGGGGGGGGCTGTGGCTCAGTGGAAGAGCCTCTGCTTTGCATGCAAAAGGTCCCAGGTTCAAGTCCCAGCTTCACCAGTTAAAAGGAACACATAGGTGGTGATGCAGAAGACCTCAACACCCTAGAGAGCTGCTGACAGTCTGAGTAGACAATACTGACCTTGATGGACCAATGTTCTGACTCAATATAAGGCATTTTCATGTGTGTGTGAGAGAGAAAGAGAAAATAGTATGAGGAAAGGGATCGAGATGGGTAGCCATGTTAGTCTGTCTGTAGCAGTGGAAAAGAGTTATCCAGTAGCACCTTAAAGACTAACAAAAACATGTGGTAGGGACAGGAAGTCGGCACGGCAAAGGGCAGCTTTTGGTTCGCTCCGAGCCACCCGACCCCTTTTCGCTCCTTTTGGAGCCTCCCGGCTGCAAGGAGAGCTCCGCCAGACCTCCCAGAGAGAGGTCTGGAGCAGGGGGCTCTGTTTTGGCCCCTTCCGCAGCTGGCAAATGCAGGGGGGGTGTCCATTATTGCCCCGAAGCAGGAGCGGCTTGTGGGGTGGAGCATGGACACCACGCTATACGCAGCTGCAGCCAACTGTTTTAACCATGTTTGGATTTAAAACTTTAAGTAATAACACAGAAGAAGAAGCCCAAGAAGCGAATTTGTGAGTACAACTACTTCTAATTTTGAAATAGAGAAGATTGGTGGCGATATTACCCCAAAATTATCTGCTCGAAAAGGAGAGGTTTAGGGGCCAGAAGATGATTAGGAGCAGCAGGTTGGGAGAGGCAGGAATATTTTCTGGAGTGTCTGCAACTTTGGAGAACTTTTTCTTGTTTTTTCTTTCTATTGGCACGGACTTATTATGGATAATGGACAGGAAAATGCTATGTATTTTGAATGATTATAAGAACTTGAGTGAACTGAATTGAACTGAGTAATTAAAATGGTGTTGGCAGCACAAGAGGAGGAGGAAATAGATGAGAATATGCTTGTGGGAGATCTGTTTGTGAAACAGTTCCTGAAGGTTTTAAGGGAACAGATTCAGAAGGGTATTGAAATAGCCTGTACAAATTTTTTAGAAACAACACATAATTCACAATTAGAAATAAAGAAAGAGGATCAAATAGAAGAGTGCACTGAGTCCCAATCCATGCTAAACAAAGAAGAAGTGTGTGTAAATTCAACAGAAACGACATATAGTTTACAATTGCAAGTAGGAAAAGAGGGAAATGTGGGACAGTTTATCCAGAGGGACGTAGAGACTATAGGATGTTACCAAACGAAATGTTGCCCCGAATCTCAAGCTACACCAATTAAATAAAAGGGAAAGAAACCAACAAAGCCTTTCTATTTAAAAACAGAGACACTAAAAAAGAATGTGCAAAGATGTTTCTTTATAGGTCAAGAAAAACCAAAAAAAGGGAGGAAAAAATGTTGTGGTAGGAAATTAAAGATGGACAATAAAAACCTGAAGTTGAGATGGTTGAAAGTTCAAAGAAAGAGACTAGAAAAAAATATCCACACAATTAAAGAAAGAAGACATGCAGACATGTTACTTCAAAAAAACAGACTATTGACTTGTTGTTGTTCAGTCGCACAGTCGAGTCCGACTCTTCGCGACCCCATGAACAAGATCCCGCCAGGCCCTCCTGTCCTCCGCTGACTTATAGGAGATAGATTAAACTATATGAACAGTGTGAAATGTTTGTTGCTGCTGATATATGTCTAGTTGGAAAAATTTGACCCTTAAATGCTTGTTATAATGGAATAGTCAATAGATAAAGTAAGGTGGTGATAAGTTAGGATTGGTGCTAGTAGACTGAAATGTTTGTGTCTTTAGTTTTGGAAAAATGTATAGGATGGTGGTGTGTGAAAATGTTTGTCAATAGATAGAGTATAAGCTGACTTGTTACTGCAAAAAAAAATAGACTACTGATTTATAGGAGGGAGATTAAACTATATGAATAGTGTAAAATGTGGGTGATTATATGTTTGGCTGGAAAAATATGACCCCTAAATGCTTGTTATAATGAAATAGTCAATAGACAAAGTAAGGTGGTGATAGGTTAAGTTGGGTGTTAATTGGTAGGTGTTTAGATTGAAATGTTTGTGTCTTTAGTCTTGGAATTTAAGGAGGTAGTATGTGAAAATGTTTGTTAATAGATAGTGTAAGTTAATGATAAGTTATGTTTTGTGTTAGTTGATATATGTGTAGTTAGAAATATGTGTAGTTAGAAATGTCTGAATCCATAATACAAGGGGATAGTCAGGAAAAGTTAGGGATAAGGGTAGATAGAAAGAGTTGGTGAGTTATAATAATAATGTGAAAGATTTGGTGTTACTTGTTGAATGTTTGAATTTTTATTCATAATTAAAAGGAAGGCAATAATAGGGAAGGTATTAAATAGTTAAGAATTCAACAAGGGTTTGAGTAGTTAAAAGAGATTTGTCTCGGGAGATTGAAGTAGTTTTATGATCTCTAAATTCTAAAGGGTGATATTAGTAAAAAAGTGTTTAACTTTGGAATGGTGGATCTGTTGAAAAGTGGAAAATAAATAGTTTCTTCTTTCTTCTCTCTTTGTTTGCGATATGGAGATATTGTGGAGAACAACACTGATCTTGGATAGATAAATTAATCTATAAGATCTAGGTGAAAAATCTTTAAAATAACGCAATTAAAACATGTGTTGTTAAGTTATTATAAGTAATGCTAATAGAAGAGTGTACTCAAATGTGGAATACTTTAAATTGGTATAGGAGTTAGTAGGTATTATGATGTAAGATCTGACTATTTTTTTGGCTTGACTGTGTTATGATACAAAATCTAAATTCAATTCATGTATTTGTTGTTGTCTAAGTTTGTGTTAATATGTCTGTCCTATTATGTTTAAAAAAAACCCAAATATTATTTTATTTTATTTTTAAAAAAAAAAAACATTTGGTAGGGTATGAACTTTGTGAGTCATTGCTCACTTCTTCAGATTCAGGTATCCAAAGAAATGAGCAGTGACTCACAAAAGCTCATACCCTACCAAAAAAAATGTTAGTCTTTAAGGTGCTACTGAACTCTTACTCTTTTCTCCTATGTGGAAAGGGAAAAATTAGTCCCTTCCCCCAGCAAGTCCTTGTGCCTTCCCCACCATTCAACTGGATCTATCCAGACAGACAGCACCATGCAACTGGGCTATAGTTCTCCTCGAGTGGGAAGAGAAAAAGGGAAAAAGCTGGGGGAGGGGAATTGAGGTGCCCTCCCACATATCCATGTGGGTTCCCCAGTTACCTTCTATACTGGCTCCAAGATTAAACAAAATGCAGTTTTTAAAGCAATAATGGAATTATCAGAAATAAGGAAGTGAGGCTACATTTACAGGTTAGCTTTTTCTTGTAGCAATGACAGCTAGGGCTTCCCTTTATTTATGTACAACACTTTTGTCATAGCTGTAACAGAATTGCAAAAAGCTGAATAAATTAGGATTTTAAAATATAGTTTTATTTATTTATAATTTCGATTTATGAATTGCTCTGACCCTGAGTGCTCAGGGCTCTGAGCCATGAACAACAGCAATAAAATAAATCAAGATAAAAACAGTTCCAGCAATTAAACAGTTCAAATAAGAAACAATTCATAGATGGTGTTGGATTCTAGACGGTGCCACCGCTTCCTAAAAGAGGTAGGGGAGACACAGCTGGAAGAGGGAAGGAAAGGCCCTAGGTGCCTCACATTTTCCTGATACGTTACTATCAATTGTTCCACTTGTATTGCACTGTGATGGTTCACTGTAAAAATTGTCTTCTACCAAATATACAGCAGATAAAATAGTTCTGATAGTTCAGTCCCAGGGTCTCTAAAACAAATATCTAGCCTTCTACATTGTTTAGTACAAATCACATCTCTAACACACAACTTCAAATCAGTGAAAAATATGAAACATGCTATTTTGAAAGTAGTGATTAGCATAATACTCCAAGAAAATCCCCAAATATGGAAACTTACAGTGAGCATGGGAGTTGTGAGTAGACCCCATGCAAAGAATTCCAGAAAGATGACAACAACAGCATGGTATACGCTTGGCCGACCGATACCCTGCTGCAAAGAAAAAGAATAAATGTGATGTGATTCTTAGAAACTTACTTCAGGAAATACCATTTTAAACAAAATATACACACAAAATTTGTATACACAAATTTGCCAATCCAGTCATTTTCAAGCTAAAGTACTCTTGCAGGTTGCCAATTAGTGCCGCCAATGGCATACCCATCCAAGTCCATCTCATGTAGGGGTGTGCAAAAAAAAAAAAAATTTCAGCCTGATTCGGATTCAGCTGAATCAATTTCGGCTGGCAGAAAGACTCCCGCATGTCAATTTCGGCAGTACCAGCCCATTCCGGAGTCTTTTGGCCAGCCTAAAGTCAGTTTCGGCCCCATTATATCCTATGGGCCATTGAAGTCAATGGTGAAAACATAGGGTATATTCTGGGACCTGGAGGGAAGGGGGTTTGAGGGAGAGGCTCCAAACCCGCAGGGTAGCTGCTGGAGCCTCTCCCCAAGATAGCCACCACGTTTCAAGAACATTGGACAAGGGGGTCCAATTCTATGGGGTCCCAAGCAGGTTGCCCCATCCCCTCCATTGTTCTCTATGGTGGGGGGAAAGTTACTTGGGGAGAGTCTCCAGCAGCTACCCTGCGAGTTTGGACCCTCTCCCTCATACCCCCTCCCCTCCAGCCCCCAGAATATACCCTATGTTTTCGCCATTGACTTCAATGGCCCATAGGATATAATGGGGCCGAATTGCCACCAATATTCAGCAGCAAATCAATTCAGATCAGAGAATCTGAATCAGCCCGCAGCAGCCTAAAAGGGGCCCGAATAGGCCATTTTTGGGCTGCATTCGGTTCATCTAATCCCTAATCCCATGTCAGAATGATTTATCACCCTGCAAATTCAAGTCAGGTAACTCTTTTAAACATGAGAGAGCTGATTTCTTACAGATATTCGAACCCTATCATACCACTCAATCCCAAATTATTCAGAGCATCTATAATGAACATCATGCAAAGTTTGCCCAGTTCCTAAGAAAAGGAAGAATTCCTAATACTGCCTGAGTAGGCAAGACTGCACCGGAGGGGGGGGGGGGATAAAAGTCTTATTGACAGAAAAGGTTTAATTTTATACTTCAAATGTCCCAGGTTATAATGTTAGTGATTAAGACCATTCTATGTCAAGGAAGCATTTGCTCAGTTCCCTTAAGAAATGTCCCGTAGACAGATTTCTAAAGTGAGTCTTTTATCTCAAAAAAAATATATAGTTATTACTTGGCATCTCACCTCATCCTCCACCACAACAGCATTGCTCATCTGAGCAAGGGCTTACCCAGGTGCCAACCTGCAAATAGGCAAAATCAACAACTACCTGTATAGAAGCCTTCTGCACTGTGGCCTCTATCTTATGGAATGGCCTGCCTGACCTGAGAGCTCAGGAAGGTTCCCACTATGTTCTATACTAGTTTGTATCGCTTGCTGAAACTAGGAACCTACTATATAATTTTTCCATCATTTAATCCTTTTGCACTGTGTAATGAATGCCCCATCCTGTCGACTGTATTGATTCACTCTGTGTGATTCACCTTGAGTCTAAGTGAGGAAGGTGGACTATAAATAAATAATGAATACCAGTAGGTTAATTAGATTTTATCAGGCAACTTGGTACTATGAAATTAACCAACTAAGAGGTATGGTATGTGTTTGGTCTATGACCAGCACAGGTCACGTGACTACAATTCTTATACAATAATAAACTGGTACAGAAAAAGAGAGATACAGTCAACTAAGCAGTCTTGTAAACATCTCACAAATAGAAAAATAATTCTATTTATGAACTTCAGCGATTTCATGAACTTTTCTTTTCAGCTGTGACATTTTTCTC